TCCAGCTGAGTACCTGCTTTAACTCATTGACTCAATCATATCACTTTTTATATATATATTTACTATTACAAATTGATATTGGAAACTCTATACAAAGTGTTTAAAATAAAACATCCCAATAAATGGCAAACTAAAAAAAAAAAAAAAAAGTTTGCCTCTGTAGATGCTCCCCAGCTGCCTCTAGCATCATTCACCCTTTGTCTAGGAATGCAATCGGAGTATTTTTTTAGTTCAACAAATAAGTTTCAGATATACCAGGAAAAGGAAATGGCTTTTGTATTGGTCTAAATATTTGCTTAGAGAAAATAAGGTATTTTGAACAAAGTAACATTTTTGCATACCAATATGTAGGAATTAGATTAACCATAAAATGAAATGCTTTAGGGTGTACATTTAAGCAAGAATATACACAGCAACCCTTTTTGAATTTTGAACCATTACCATCAGCATAGAGTAGAAATTTTATAATACAAACAAGGGTTATAAAAACCAGGGACGATATACTGTAAGGTTCTGATCCTGAGAAGTACAGAGCACTCAACTCCCATTGAGTTCAGAGTTGTGAATGCTCAGCACCTCTCAGGATTAAGGGACTGTTCCAAAACCCATTGCATTAAATGGAAAGACTTCTACTGACTTCATTAAGCTTTGGATCAGGCCCTAAGTCTTCTAATTGAAACAATTTATCTTGTTTAATTATGGAAAAATTATACAATTATACCTGAGATGGGGTTCTTATGAGAAATCTATTTATCAAAAACCAGCTCCATACAGCATCATCAACAACAGCTTTCAGTTCTATGTTGATATGATAAAAGGTGTCTCTTGTTTCTATAACTTTCCCTAATATATGATCTCCCTAATATCGTCCCTTACTGATCACACTCCTGGGCTATCAGTTAGGACTCTTAAGTGTCCGATAGGACTTGAAAGCTTTGTTTTGAACATATATAGAGAAAAAGGTAGGTTTTATAGTCAAATAGGTTTGGATAAAATGAAGGAAACTCAAAAGCTTTTGTCCTGCCAGTCAATGTATGACTCTGCATTTTAAACTATTACGAGGCAGAATACACGTAATTCAGGTCAGATCTCCAAACTCTGGCATCTGTGAGCCAAATTTTGCTTTCCTTTCTCATATGAATACTCTCATTGACTTCAATGGGACTACTCATGCTTGTAGGCAGGACAATGTACTTAACATACAAGCTTAAGCTTCCATTTAGGGGGACAATAACTCAAACGTAGTAAATAAAATGCTATATACAGAAGCATAAATTCTTGGCTTTCATAATTTCATTACCTATTTTTATATCCTCTTCAGGCTGTATCTCACGTTTACCAGCTAGGCCATGTTTGTCAATAAAAGATCTGTGATTATCTACTGCATCTGTTAAATAAATTAGAGATGAAGAGTTAATTTCATTTACAGTCTCCAGGTTGATTTTGATGGATTTTATTGAGCTAGCTCAAAAAGATTTAAAAGTGACTCTCTTTATAGCCTTCTTTTCATTTGTGCCCGAGAACATGATGGGATTGTTGATAGAATGATGTATAATTAGTGAATCAAAGGAATCATTCTTTAATAAGCTTATTAAAGATGGCATTTTTTAATTTTGTGTATTTAGTTTATATCCATTAAGGGCCCATTCCTATATTGCTTGCACTTCCAAACTCTTCCACTGAATTCATTGGGAGTTTTGGGTGTACAGGGAATGCAGAGTTGAACAATTCCTGTGTAATTTAGGAATGTGGTTTTGCTACTCTTTCCTCTTAAAAAAAAAAGTTGCCAAGTAATTTGTTTTAAAGTAAACTGCAGTTAGTTTACATGAATAACCTCCAAAAACTATCTTACATTCCCCAGGTGCCTCTTCTCTCCCCCTTGCAATGGGCATTTCCTTTATCAGTAAAAGCTGATCAATACGACCTGCAACAGAGGATGATGCCTATTATCCAGTCTTAGAGAAATGGCACTCAGCAAATATATGCCCCCATTACAGAATGGCATGTCTGTCTGTCTTTCAACACAGTCTATTCTGGCATTGCTGCTTTAAGGCAAATATATTTACAAACATTTACAGAATCAATAAAT